ATAAACAAGAAAAATGGCAAACCGGAGGGGTTTTCCTTGTTTTTCCTTTTTTAACTTCGCATTCCGTCATCTTGACTTTCCGCACGTACAATTCGTGATTTTAAAACTATTCAAGGGTTGTTCTCTTCTGTGCGATGCCCTGGAAAATCGTCAGCTGGAACGTGAACGGAATCCGAACGTTGGTAACTCCGAAAACGCCGTTGAGCAAATGGCTGAACGATTTCGACGCCGACATTGTCTGTTTCCAGGAGACGAAGATTTCTCGTGAGTTATTGATCCAAAAAATTTTTTATCCAGTATCAGAATCCTTTGTATTTATGAGTTTTTTGTTTTATTTTAGGAGAAGCATTGCAGGAAGAGATCGCCGTGGTTCCTGGTTACACATCGTACTTCGCCTTTTCGCAAACGAGAGTCGGATATTCTGGTCACTAACTACATTTTCACGCCTATATATGAGGGGTCTAACAATAGTTTTTGGGATAGAAATTGAAACTGCATATAATCTAGCTGGAAAACAATTACTGCTAAAAGAAAAACATTTTTGGCATTCAAAGACCAGCTCGAGGAAACCTATTAAATATTAAATCGTGCTGAGGTTGATCGAAAATAAGTCGAAGGTGGATTTTCTGTTCAAAATCTGGTTCCCTTATTCATGCAATTTTTCCAGGTGTTGCAACTTACTGCAAGTCAAGCACTGCAACCCCAACAAATGCAGAAGACTGTTTAACAGGTTGGCAGAGTAATTCGAATAGCGTCATTGGATTCACTGCTTCAGCGAGTGACGACAATTTATCCTCTGGAGGTCTGAGTTCGCTGGATACTGAAGGAAGATGCGTTCTGACGGAACACTTGATTTCGGTATTTTTCTTTATCGTTTACTTCTTTTTTTAAAGAAGGAACAAATTTACAGTTGAACCTGGATAACTAGAACCTCCGTGCGTCAAGTTTTCCAAGTCCCTGTCAGAATTCCTCTTAGAAAGATTGCATTAAAAACCTCCCTTACTCAAAGGCTCTCCTCCTCAATCCCCCAGAACTTGAATGTTCTGGAGGCTTTTTGGCTATTATTATTTTGTCACAGGAAAGAGAAAGGTAATGAAAATGTAACTTGGTGTTTTGAAAGTAATTAAAAGACTAATTGTGCAAATAAATCCTTGCCTTCACGTTCAGGATCTTTTCAACTAATTTAAAAAACAATTCAAGGACCAGAATATTCCTGATTACAATTTCCTGTAATCCTTATTTCTTTCTGCTCAACAAAAATTCGTTTTTCCCTAACTTGAATTTGTCGCTGGTTCATGACAGGATTCGCTGACGGATGAAAAGAAGAAGCTCTTCGTTTTCAACGTGTATGTTCCAAGGGTTGATTTCGAGGAGAACCCGCCCCCCAGGCTAGATTACAAAATGGACTTTTTGCGAATTTTGCTACAACGAGCGAAAAAGATGACTGCAGCCGGACATTGTGTGATCATCACTGGCGACTTGAACGTCTGTATCAGCCCTGAAGACCACTTTGACCCTGGTGATATCAATGTGCGTGAAAGTGTATGATGAATTTTTCCCTTTTGTCCATTTTATTAATAGATTAACTCGGCGTTGGCAGATGTCACTGGTAGTTTCTGAAAAATTTTAGACGTACAAGAAAGCTCGAAAGTTGTTTCTGCTTTTAGGTTCCTCCTGTTCCTACGTGGGCATTCATACAGTATCAAACCAGATTAAATTGGATTCGCAGGAAAATCTTCGAAGAAGTATTTTAATTAATTTTTACATTCATCATATGTTAAAAAATTGTATACCAACTGTCTGTGGGCAATGATCGTAAAGTTCAAGACTCTTCTTCGCGGATTGTAAAAAGTACTGTACTTACAACCTCAATGACTCAAACCTCCCCACGTCGAATGTTTTTCAAGTCCCTGCTGGAATTCCCTCAGAAACAATTCATTGAAATCATTTGAGCTTTCCACCTAAAACCTCAATATGATTAGAATCTTCTGAGGTCTTTTGGATTGAGATAGGAAAGAGAAAAGATGTAAAAATGAAACTTGACGTGTTTTGAAAGTCTGTTTTGGCAAATGAACCCTTGCCTCCCAAATTCAGCATCCTGTCAACTCATTTAAAAATCACTTTAAGACCCAGAATATTACCAATTAAAATCTCCTGTGATTCCCGTAACTTGAAACCTCCCTTACTCAATTATTTTTTGTTGGTTACTTGAAATTTGACTTGTGAATTGAGGTTCGACTATTTTTTTTCTTCTTTTATGCAAACAGGATTTTTACAAAGATCGACCTGATCGGCAGTTATTGAAGAGCTCCCTCCTAAACTCAGAATTATCCGGAGACGGATTCCTCGTTGATTCCTTTCGGAAAATGCATCCGGACCGGAAGAATGCCTACAGTTGTTGGCACACGAAACTTGGCCTGAGGAGCAAAAATTTGGGAACGAGAATCGACTTTGTCCTGACAGATTTGGCATCTGCCAATCTTTTGGCAGGTGCTGACGTTTGCCCACACGTCATGGGCTCTGACCATTGTCCAGTTGAAACCAGTTTTTCCAGTTCACTCCACGCCTCCGTAGTTTGTCCAGCCTTGGCCACGAAACTCTGGCCCCAGTTTGCCCGAAAGCAGCAAAAACTCACCGACTTTTTCGCCCGTGGGGAGAAGAATTGTGTTGCGTCTGTCGTGCAGAAACGCGAAAAGGCGAAGAAATGTAACAATTTGATTTCGAGCTATTTCGTGAAGCGGCAGAAAGTGACGGACTCCGGCGAATTTGTGATTTCTGAATCGGCCTCACAAGAAGTGGAGCGAGTTATAGAAGATATTGAGCAGGAATCGTGTTCTCCTCCGATTCGATCCGAAATTTCAGTAGAAACGAGCCGAAGTGGGAATGTTTCCAATTCTTGGAAGTCCCTTTTGACTGGACCACCCAAGTGCAAACACGGGTTCGTGTGTGTTCGACGCGTTGTCAAAAAACCTGGGCCGAATTTGAAGAGAGAATTCTGGAGTTGTCCAATTATGCCGGTCGAGGAAGTCGACAAAGGGCCAAAGTGCTCATTTTTTCTGTGGATCCGGTGATGATTTCGAGCAAATCCGGTTGATATTATTTTCTCCCGATGAAAGTTTTATTTTTCACGCGTGAAGTTCTTAACATTTTTTTTTCATCTGCTCCCGAATTCGGCGATTGTTTTGTACCTAAGAAATTTTTCAAGCTACGTCGTCATGATGATTCATTATCATTTCTGGTCCCTGCATTATTTTTGGGAAGCATTTTTCCATTTAAGTGTTTCAGTATTTTCAGGTCTGTGAGGGATGAATTGAACTGCTGGTTTATTACAAGTCCTCTTTTTGGATTAAACGCGCTTTTTTCCGCATCCAGACGTCATGGAAACTTCGAAGGCTGATCGACGAATTCAGGAAGTTCCAACATTTTATTTGAAGGTGATCTGGTTTTTTTTTTCGATTTTTTCCGAGTTTGCAGTCAGCCTAAATTCCTTTTGAACCCCGCAGGCGTTTTTGGAGCTTCAGAACAAGATTTTGAAGAGCCCATCGGGAACTTGTGAGGTGAAATTTCCATCTACTGTATTATCTATGTCCTAATTACCCGTGTTATTTTTTTGGTTTTATGAAGAATCAAACGTTCCACTTTTTTTATTGCTAAAATTTAACAGAAACTGATGGGAAAAACCCAGCGTCAAATCCCTGGTGTGATCTACCTCTATGATGAATGTTTACTGATCTGAAATGAGAACAGACAACTGACAATTCGAAGTGAAAATTTTTTGGAAACATTCGGCAACTTTATTCCAAGTAACGGATTTAGTTTCGATGTTATATGATGAACATAATATTAACTTCAAGGTAACCTCCGTTTGAAAGATGAAATGAAACTGAATGATAATTTCTAGAGTGCACTATTTCATAGAGACGAAAGTGACTGTGCGTCCATAGCAAACGTCCTGGTCTGGTTATTTATTAAAATACTGTAGTGTTAAGTACGTTTTTTATGTGTATGTACAGGTTATGTGTGTGTTTGTTGAAGTGGATGACGTCCTATTATTTTCCTATTTGGTATAGACTGAGTTGAATGAGTTGTGGAGACATCTAGGCGATGTAGATGAAGCAAAATCCTCGGCTTCTGCTGCAACACTGAAGACATTGTATCTGAAGAGGAAATTAAAGCTGTCGGAAATCGTTTCTGGGGTCATGGTAGTTGTTCACAGTCAGAACAGGTAATTAACTATCAAATGCCTCCCTATTTTTTTTTTACGAAAAGTTTATTTTATTTAAAACGCCGATTTAATTTGTATAGGAATCCCATGGGTGCCATTCTGATGCTGTTGGAAGTTTTATCTGTAGCTGATGATCTCTCCGAAGTTTGGTCACCCAACAGAGAACTTGAAGACCTTCGAAGTTCAAAAGTGAAGTCAGCAGTTAATCCTTTGGTTGCTTTGGTGCTTCATAAACCGAGCTGCGGTCATGCGATTCTTTCTGGAGCCGATTATTTTTATCGTCGAACCGATTGTTCCAAGCTGTAAGTTTATTCGATATCGAATGTGTAAATTTTCGGCGTCCGAAATTTGCTGCGGACGAATTCTGTATTGTAATTAGAAATCTGTTTCATGTATTTAAAATTTAGTTAAAATATGGAGTTCGAATAAAACTGGAGTGCATGGAAATATATTGAAACGGTTTTAAAAGAATTTCTGGAATCAGGGAAAATACTCTACCAAAAAATATTTTCATTAATGAACCGTCGAAAAACTTCACCGAAATCTAAATCAACCTTTATTTTATTTATTTTTTGTCCTGGACGCTCAACGACAACTCAGAAGTTGATGACATTTTGGATTTATCAGTGCCGAGTTGAATTTCAATGAAGACTTTTGACGACCCGATTGTTTGTTATACAGATGGGGTCTATTGTTGGAGCTGTTCAAGTTTGTATTGAACGATGAAGGGACGACTCAGGAACATTTCCTTTTGCAGAGAGAAGCTTTTCTCATTTTGGCCAACAGAGGTGCGGACTTTTCGTACCGAGACGTTTACGAGCTGCTGAGAAATCATGTCTGGATCAGAAAAAAGGTGATGAGTTTTTGATGAATTATAACAAGCTTACGGTGGATGATTTTTTTTATTTGAGTACTTACGTGTACAAATATGGTTACGCGCGACGGTTTTTTAATTTATAGTGGATGACGAAAATTTCAATTTTTTCAGAATGATTTTGCTCTCAGAAGTTTGAAATGGACACCACATTTCAAGAATTTAATCAATGTACAATTCAAAGTGTTGGACATGTGCTTCATGCATCAGGCCAAAAAAACATGATGTTCTTTTCAGACCTTGAAAATTACTCAATAATGAAATTGATGAAGAAAACGAATAATTAAGAATCCAGTCTGTGTTTTTATGATCGTAAGCAACAATTTTGAGTTGGGCGTGAAATGAAGAGAAGAACTGGTTTTATAATTTATCCTTTTTGGATTTCATTGGAAATTCCGATTTGGTATTTTTGTTCCTCCATAAATTGTTGGTTTGTGTTTTTGATCAATATAATTTTTTTATTCAACAGCTGTACAATGATCAAGATCTTGAAGCAGCTGCAGACAAACTAGTTTTACTCCTGCAGCGATTCCCTTCAACTACTGTGTGGAAGTCTTCGGATGATGACAATATTTTGCCAATTTGTTGTGCGATTTTGTGGGAATCCTCAAAAAGCACGTCGAATGCAATATTTTTACCGAGACTGATGACTGTGCTGAACACTGTTGTCACTGAATTGTCGCCTGCGTACCAAGCCTTCTTGTGGCTTTTCCTCTGTGTTTTTCTGCCCATCTGTCCTATTTCTTTGTATGAATCAGCCATTGATTTGGGTGAGTGTTTCAACGTGAATTTTTCTTTTTTCATGCTTATACAAGGTCTAATTTTTGTATTTTCTGCGAATTAAAGCAAATTGGCTTTTTCCGAAACTGGAAAATGGCAACAAGACCTTGGTCCTTTCAATGTTGGCCCCAGCGTGTCACACTGCTGGTTTGGAAGAAGTTGAGTCACTTGCCAAAGCTGTCATCGGTGCTAAAGTTCTCGTCAACCGCCTCACCGAATTTCGCGCATCGGAAATGGCTAAAGGTGAGTTTGAAACGTCATTTAATTTTTAAATATAGAGCCCGGATTCAGTAGTTTTTTTTTTTTTTTTAACGCGCAGTTTCGATAGATATTTTTTTTTACTTCACGATTATGACGTGAAAGAGAAAGTAGAGCAAAATTTGATAGCAGAGCCTAAACTTTTTTGATTGCAAATTTTTTTCGCATTCCGCCGTTTTCTTTGCAGATCCCGACTCCAAATTTGCGATCCGAATCAATTGCCACTCGGATGAGAACGGCCTTCTCATCGTTCGTCATCCATTCCTTAGCAATATCCTGCGAGTGCAAACCTGGTTGACGACTGACGGATTTGACACGAAGTCGAAAAGCAGCAGAAAGAATGCCGAAGACGTCGTTATTCAAACTGCAATGCTTGGAGAATTTTTGGCACTTGACGAAGAAAACTCGCGTATTTCTGCTTTTGGGATGAATCACGAAGAGCTGCTGGAGGCGTTGGTGGATGCAGGGGAAAAGGATCCTGTTGCAGCAGTGCGCATGTTGCCCGTGTTTGTGGCCACTCTGTCGTTCAAGACGCTGGGCAGCAGGGCCATGTCGAGTGCGCTTAAACTCAGAGTCATGCAGGTTTTGCCCAAGTGGGCTGTGCACAAGGTTTGTTCCGAGTTATGTTTGTATTTTATTTTACGAAGTAACGTCAAAATCTGACACACTTTTCCGCAATTTCTCCGTGAAGCGTCTTCGGATTTATTTTTATTAAATCAAATAATTATTCTGGTGTATGTGTGATGGAAAAAATATTCCTGACATAGCCCATAATGTTCCAAGGTTCTGGTTTTTAATTTTCAAGTTTTAAAATTTCGATTTACTGCATGATGATGAGTGAAAACTTTTCAGGTACAGCCAGAGTTGTCTATAAACTCTATACCCATGTCAGAGGGTCCTAAAAATGTGTCAGGCCAGCTGAGAAATTGAATTTTTATTGTTTCAACTCTTACCTTTTCTGCATTTTAGATAAATATTAAAACGACAACAAAAATTTCAATTCTTTAGCTGGCATGAAAAATTTTAACCCCCTGATGTGACATGGGTGTAGAGAACTCTGGCTTTAACTGGGAAGTTGTCACTCATCATCATGTGGTATTTTGAAGAATGAAAAATAAAAATCGCAGAACCGGAAAGCATCATATGCTATGCCATGATTCTTTGTTTTACAATCACACATGCTCGGCCACGTTAAATAACTGGGACAATCCTCGGACTTAGTGGTCTCCAAAATGTCCTTCCCACGTTTGACAAAATCTTTTAGGCATGTGTGAAGCCGTTGCTGAACTTGATTGCAGCCATGAGAAGTCAGTCGGGTTTGGAGGTGATGGCCCTGCGCATGATGCACGAATTGTGGAAAGCTGATGATCGGTGTTTCGGAGAACTGGAAGCGATGTTGGTTCAATCCAAGAACGACTCTGCAGCTTGGGCCATTGCTAAAAGTTGCTTAGTCCGAGACATCTGTTTGTCCAAGTGCGTTCTTGAGTCCCCCTCTGTTTGACGCGCGGCCTGTACTCTGAAATTGTTTTTTTTTTGGTACATAGGTGTCGCCTGACGCCTGTGCACAAAGCTAATTCATTTTGAAATTTCCTATTGCAGGGCAAATAAATTTGGCAATGCTTTCTTGGGACTTGTTGTGGACACCATCAAAGCACCGTCCGGGTTGGAAATTCATGCGTTATGCGCTTTGGATGCAGTTGGTGCCTTGTGCAAAGAGAGCGTTGTTGATTTGCAAGATGTGTTCGAGATCTTGACGATTCTTGCGCATGCTGAAACGAGGTCGCTTGTAATTTCCAAGTGAGACCTGCATTGATATCTGTTCATTTCTGCTTTTTTGTTCAATATTGGGAATCTTTTCTCAGAATTGGGGAAGTTATTCAATTGGCTGCTGACGTGGAAAGAACGAGCAGAAAAGCGAATCTTTTTGTGACTCGTGTTCTCAATTGGCTGTGGGACCTGACTTGTGGTACTCAAGTGCATCTTGTTAATATGGCTTTGAGGTCAGTTGCCTTTTTTATACTGTGCTGTATGTCTAATTGATTATTTTAATCTTTCATCGGAGATTCGTTTTGGAAGGTATTTCCGAGACTCTTTAATTTTTGAAAATGTTTAGGAAATCCTAAAATGAATTATGCAAGTATACTGTAGTAGGAATGCTTATGCATGCGCAACTCGACAAAATCCACATAAATTTGGTCTAAGTTTGAGAATTATTGCTCAAATCACCTATGACAATTTTATCCTGTTGAAAAACTGGCTCAAGAAATTTTCTAGAGCCTATTTAATTAATGAAAAAATGGAATTTCTCAGTCTTCTAGGTTTTTTTTTTTGTGGAAAAACAAATAAAAAACTTCATGAGTGCGACTTCCCTGCTTGCTGGTTGCCCATGAAGTGTATTTGTATTTGTGATGATTTTTTATACTCTTCTGCAATTTTGAGAATTATGTGAATGTTACAGGTTTTAAAAATGTCCGACTTGTCTATTTGTGCAAGCTAATATTCGTCCAACGATGAATTTTGGCATGATTTCGTTAATCTTGCGTTTTTCTCCGCTTTTATTTTCAGAACGCTCGGAAAATTCTCGCCTACGGATTTCAAACTGTCTATGGTTCCCGTCAGTTTCCGATCCCGAGCGGAAATTAAGGAAAGGATTTTTGACGAACAAGAGGATTTTGTTTCGGGTAAGGTTTTTCATAGTAAATCGATGTACAGTACTGTACAATGCTAAATTTCTTCAATTGGATTCTCTTATTAATTTAATGAATTCAGAAGGTTTTTTTTTTGAAGTCCATCTTTATACCTTGATTTTTGACGCGCGAATGTCTGATACATTATTTAGAATCATGCGATCATATTTCACGAGTTTCAAACTTATTTTTCTTTATACTGTTGTTATACTGTACTATAATCTTCCCTTTTCTGAATCTCGAAACAGGTGCTCACATCCTGAAAATGTTCGAGGAACTGAATGAGAAGAGTTTTCCTGCCATGGAGGACTTGGTGTTATCCATGACCGGACACGAGATGAGAAACATGGGCAAGAGAGCTTACACGATGGGCATGAATCTGGCAGCGACTAGGAGAAACCCGGAAAACCCCGCGGGAGAACCCATGGATTACAATTATTTGGACGAGAAAAGCCTGCTCAAGTGGGTAATTCGTTATCTCATCGAAGAGTCTAGAAAGGAACGCACGGATTCCGGAAGCACGATTTTGATTTGTTTGGCGGCTTTGAATCAGACGGAATTTTTCTCTGGCACTCGAGGACTCCCGCCGTTATTCTGGTAGAAAAATTAACTTCATGAAAAGTGGAATGGAAAACTTCTACATTTTGTAAATGTTCTTACAGGCCGAGGATTTTACGGCCATTGGCAAGGCTACCTGAATTGCTGTGTGCTGTGTTGGATTTGGTCGTCAGTTTGAGTTTGCATTCAGTGTCGGCCAAAATATTCCTGAAGGAACTTTTGAAACGTCAAGAGGATGAAGCGCAGGGATTTCCGGCAAGTTTTCTGTCGCTATGAATGACCCACAAACATTCAAGCCACTCGAAAATCATACATTTAGAAAACTGGACGGATCATGAGATACACTTTTTAAAGGAATTGAATTTTATGCTTTTATCGAATTAGTTTTTTTTCACCTTTCAACCTAGCTTGAAATTATGTTACATTTGCAAATTATAGCAGCTTTTTTTTTTAATATTACATCGGGTAATTTTCAAAATTATGCATTTTTGGAAAGAAATGTGTTCAAATTGCTTTTTTGAAAAAGACTGCTGAATGTGGTTTCAAAATTCTAACGTTATAATTTGCACGTGTGAACGCCTTTTGAGATATTGAATTTTACAGCGCACTATTTCATTTTCTCAATTTTTGTGGTCATTACATTCTTCGTGAATGTGAACTTTGAACTTTGAAAAGACGGCATTTTAAATTTTAATTTTGAATTTACAGGTGGAAGCAATGGTTGTGCTGAGAAGGAGATTTTCAGACGTTGTGGTTGCTTTGAACGTGACTGAATATGAAGAGAACTCATTGGCGGGTTTTCTCGAATTTCACTTCGAAGTGAGATGCTTTCATTATTTTAATTCTGCATCATTTGCGTGCATTATTTTTTCACGCACCTTAGTTGCAAAATTCGCATTCGAAGTATAAAATATACTGAACCTGGAATACCCTCGACAAACTAATTTGGTCGTCAATAAAACAAGCCAATTGAATTTTCTGTGATTGAATAATTTATGATGGCTTTAATTAAACTGATCCCCTAATGTAATATCACCTTACGCACAACGCACGTTGATCCTAATTTTATTAATTATAAATAATCGAGGCATCCAAGTTGTAATTCGCATGAAGAAACCTATTCTGACCTGTCTAACCCACCTCTGCATTGTACTTGTGGGTTGACTGAGAGATGGGTGAATGTATGAGTGCTGCAAGTTCAGCTTCAGTAAGGAATAAGTTAATTTCCGGTGAAATTTTATTTTACTTTGAAGAAGCCACTTCAAGACCATGGAAAGAAGCTAACGGATGACTGGTTGACAGCGTTTCGAGATTCACTGACGGACAATCGAGTTTCTTCTGAAAATAA